TTCAAGGCTAATAACAGCCGACCTATGACAATGATTTTGCAGTTAGATAACAGTCAACTACTGTCTTGGGATTGATATCAGTCCTGAGATTTTCTATCCGTACCTCTCCGAGTGAATAACAAAGTCCTTTTGAGTATCAATCTCAAGAAAAGGTACTTACTTTATGAAGAAGCTCTCTCCAATCTTAGGACAGCTGCTAAAGCCTTCTTGCAACCTCCAAGAATCAGCTGAAGTAAGAATCTTTTTGAACTTTCAGCCCTAAACAATTCTCATGTGGTCGGCTGAATTAAATACACATGAGAAACCCTAGATCTAAGGCTCTGATACCAACTTGAAAGAAGAAGAAGAACTGTTTACTGTATTAGAGAAGTAATACAGGTTCGAAGAGAAGAAAAGAGAGAAAGAGAGAGAGAGAGAGAGAGAGAGAGAGAGAGAGAGAGAAGAGTGAAGAGAGGAGAAAAGAAAGAAGGGGTTCGGTGGTTAATAATCTGCCGCCCCATACGCTTCTTTATTTATAGCTTTAGGTTCCTTACAAGAATAGAAATAAACACAAATTAGAAACAATAAGGCCAGCCGGCCCAGCTTAAAAGAAATTAGAAACTTCTAATAAAAGAAATTAGAAACTACTAATAAAAGAAATTAGAAACTACTAATAAAAGAAATTAGAAACAACTAGGTGTGGGTATGAAACCACACATACTAGAGCCTGAGTGCGGGTATGGAACCCCAAACTCGTGGCTAACCAACTATTTTTTCAAGCTCAACTTTGATGGCAGCAGTTTAGGTAATCCGGGTCCTTCTGGTGTTGAGGGAGTGTTTACAAATATAGAGGGGCTAATCATTGCTTTATATTCTGGCCCTATAGGAGTAGGGGATTCAATCAACACAGAAATTCAAGCAGTGTCACAAGAAGCTGAATTTGCCAAGGAACCGAATTGTTAACAGTTGTTAATTGAAGGTGATTCCAAGTTGGTGATCCAGTGGTTAAAAGAACCAGAAACAGCAGTCTGATCCTATAAAGGGGCTTTATGAAGATTCAAATGGCTAACTACAAACATGTCAGTCCAATTGCAATGGGAAAGAAGATCAGAAAATGGGTTAGCAGATTTACTAGCTAAACAATGGGTGCATAGGAATCAGATGTTTTGGGCTAAACTGTAATTCTTGCTTTAATCTGCCTCAACTTGGGAACTTTCTCTGTGCATCTTTTATGCTCTTAATCTATTAATAAATTCACTCATTATTCATCGAAAAAATGTGTCCATGCCAAACATTCAAGAACATAATTTGTCCATTAGTGTACAGAAGAAAAGAGAAAGAATAGAGAGAAAGGAGCAGCCATTTCGAGAGAAAAATTACTATTCAAATAAACCAGGCTTCTATTTATATCATTTATTCAATAAACAATGAAATTACATCATATCCTAGTTTAATAATAAAACAACATTTACTAAAATGCCCTATTCAAGTATTGAAAGTGAGTGGACTATTGTACCCCTAACTAAGGTGTTAGAGTCAGCAGTCAAGAAGGTATTTTAGTCTTTATATTCTGTTATTAATAGTTGCTTTGTCTCTTTTGTCTCATTTTAAGTTACACGCCCCATACTTAATTAGGGGCATAAGAGACTGTACATTAAAGTCCAAAACATATAAATAAGAAGGTGGTCAGCTGGGAGAGTGTGATTTTTCTCTCCAGCCGTTTCTCTCTATTCTCATCTCCTCTTTTTCTCCTTCTTCTCTACTCTTTCTCTCTTGTTTCTGACCTAGAACTGAACCGGGCATGAACAGTAAAGATAATACTCTCAACACTCCCCCAAGCTGGTGAGTATATATTCTATAGACCCAGCTTGGAAATAATAGAGTCAACCTTGGGTCTATGCAATGCTTTTGGTGAACATATATGAAAGTCAGATTTGACAAATGGGAGATCCACATCATGATTCTGTAACTTGTCCTGGATAAAATGACAATAAATGTCAGTATGTTTCATCCCCTTATGAAATACTTGGTTTGAAGCAATATGTATAGTAGCTTGGTTGTCATAATGGAGGTGCATGGTGAGTGATACCAGAAATCCCATCTTTTGAAGTAAACTTTGAACCACTTAAGTTTTCCTGTGGTATAACTCACTTCTTGGTATTCAACCTTGGCATTGTACTTAGCAGTTAGCAACTATGCTCTACTTCTTACTCTTCCATGTGAAAAGACTCCTGACAAGAATGTCTAGTAACCTGTAGTATATCAATAATTTGAAAGAAAACTAGACCAGTTTGCATCAGTATAACCCGATATACTCAAGTGTGCATGATCCTTAGTGTTGCTCAGTTAGCATAGTCTCTATCCTATTTTTCTTTCTTATACTTGGAAAATCAGAATGAAAAAAAAAATGAAGAAGAAGATGTAGATATGATAGAAAGATTAGAGAGAGTTTAAAGTAGCATAATGAGGCTACACATATTAGTTCATAAAGATATGGAAAAATTACATGCATACCCTTTATTAGCAAGGCTGCAAATGAATTGGATTTTGATCCGATTCAATTTGAATCCGATTCGTTTATAACGGATTTGAATATCTGCTTATCTTAAACCAATCGAATTCAAATCTAACTATAGAGTTCATTTACTTATCAAGTCAAATTGGGATTGACCCTGATTCAATCCCATATCAATTCAATTCAATTATATATAATTATGTACCTATTAATAGACAAATGTACCCAATGTTCTCTATAAACATACATGTGTAAATTTTCAGAAAAAAATGAAGGCTATTTTCTTTTCAATCCATCACCGCCTACTGCCACTCACCACTGATTTAGAAGAATGTTAAAGAATGTTAGAAGATGGAGGATAGAGATTGAAGAATGTTAAGTTATTAGCAATAAATTAATAACTAAGAGAAGAAAAAGTACAAAGGAGCTGGGAGGTTCCCAAGAACTCTTTTTGACATTGCCTTCACAATTACAATTCAGCCCAAAAAAAGTTTATCCCTATTAACCCCTTGCTTGGCCAAAGTTCTTCCCACTTCCCAAGCTAACATACCAATCTCCCTTAGAGTTTGTCTATAAGGCCAGGCTCCTAATGTATTGTTTCTTATCTAAGAAATGACTAACTTTGAGTCTCCTTCCACTTCCAATTGTTTAGCTGTCCTCAGCCTCTGCAACAGTGCCATTATCTCAGCTTTAACAGAATTGCAAATTTCAATAGGGCCTGAATACAGTACCTTGACAACACCATTTACATCCCTAAATACTCCTATTCCAGCCAGTCCCAAGTTGCCTATGGAGCATCCATCAAAGTTCAGCTTCACCTGTGGATCTACCAGCAGTTTCAACTCCATTGTATCCTTATCCTTTTTTTTTGTAAGAATGTGCCACATCACCCCAAGCTCTCATCACATCATCAACTAAGATGTCCTTGAAGTCTTCTGAAGTTTTTACCCAATGTGCAACCTTTCTTTATATTTTCCACTATCTCCTCCACAGAGTTGCATTCTTTTGATAATTATTCTGTTCCTTGCTTCCCACACAACCCATAGCAGTGCTGCTCTTTCTGCCCTCCACATTAATCTACCTCTTTTTTTAGGCTGCCTTAAGAAGTTCAGACAAAACAAGCTAGCTGCATTCTGGGGTGCTTCCCACTTGCAACCAAATAGAGATTAAACCTTCCTCCAAGCACAATTCACAAAAGAGCAGGATAATAGCAATTGGGAAAATAGTCTCACCGCTTGCTTTGCAAAGAAAGCAAATATTAGGAGAAAGGCACTTATTCAGCCTTCTTCGTTTTTAACCCTTTTAAGCTATTTGGTGTTATGGTTCATAGCAAAACCCTAAGCTCTCCATCTTTGTGATGTTGTTGGCACTGGACCAACTGATAGGGCTACAAGAGAAGAATACTCACATCACATGTTCTTCACATTACCATTGAAAACCTGGAACAACCATTGCTCATTGCACGGCATGATATTCAGGGCTCCAAGCCCAAATCTTTATATATTACCAGTATTTTTTCCATTGTAGTCAATTAAGAAAGAAAAAAAAAATCTAGTTATTTATGATTTCCTTTATTTTATTTTTTAAGGGGAGAAAATATACAACCTTTTTTTCAAGATTTTCCAATATTATTGTTTTATGAATCATATGCTATGTATTCTACATCAATGATCTGCCCCAATAAAACCCACAATTTAACCTTTAGTTTTTTTTTTCTATTTTAGATAATATGCAGTGGGTTAATTCCTGTAGAATCTACTTTGTCTTCCTCATTTGGTTTTCAAGATTTTGCTCTATCCCCTGATTATATCCAATTCAACTCTGCTTTCACTGATTAGGTTTTTTCTATTTGTTCCAAGGCATGTTTTTGAAAATCAAATCGAATCGAATTTGAATCGGATATCCAATTATTTAAATGAATTGAATTTCAAAATATGAATTTATATATCTGTCATATTCAAATCAAATTTGGATATAGCCCTATCTGAATTCAATTCAATCTGTTTGCAGCCCAACTGATTAGTCAATAGATTAGAATAAGTAAAGGAAAAGACAGAGATGCCCCCATTATTAACAAGGCAGTCTTTCAACACTCTCCCTCAAGCTGAGCATAGATAATCATGCATGCCCAGCTTGCATAGGTCACTATCAAACTTGAGGAAAAGGAAGAAAGTATCAAAAGACAATGAAAAGCAGTAAGATATGAATTACTTCTCAAAGAACCTCTCGAGAATATACTAGTGCAATAATTTAATTAATTTTTTAATAAGGATTAAAACAAAGGCTTATAATTTCAGTGCACAAGATCATACAAGCTTTTTGACAAAAAAAAATTTAATGTCATCGAAGGCTAATAATTTCAGTCCATTAAATAATACATACCGCTCTTTTATGCATTTGTTGTAAATTTAAAAATTACTTTCATGTTTATTCTACGAAGGCTAATTAAATATAATTTTCTCCTGTCACTATCATTATAACATGAAAGAAAGTTTGAAGTAAGGACCTTTTGGTTTTGGAACAAGGTGAGGGCTCCAAATATATCCATAAGGCACATCAGAAGCAGATCCTTGGGAACCACTTAAATATGTGACAGGTCTTAGCTTCAGTTTTTTTTTCCTGAAATCATTTATCATGTCTCGTATTCCAAGCCAAATCAAAGAATCAACAATTTGATATGACAGCTGCAAAATGTGTCCAGGTTAGAAAAGATTGAGAATAATCAGACAAACCAATGCCTACAGAACATGAGAAATTGCTCCAAAACTAGAAAATCAATAATATGGAAGTATTCATATGAGCTCACTCTATATCCAGCTTGCTGTTTGACACGGGACAAAGGGTGTGGAAACTCACTTGTTGGCCTGTCATCATAATAGAAGATTGACAAAGCACATATTGCACAATTGAAACCTATAATCTGAATAATACAAAGTATAGAGCAGAAAAGAACTCCAAAAGGGAAAATGAAAGAATAATGATCACAAAAGAAAATTATTAGCAACATAGAGGATCTATTACTCATTTACTCAAATAGGACTTACGTCCATGGCATTGTGAAAAATATATGGAGTGGTACTTTTAGTGCTTCAGCTACATGTGTATGCCCTGAAAAAAAAATCATACAGGTCAGAAGTACATTCAACATTTCAACTAACCATTTTTATGAGTAATATATAGAAATTTTAATTGATACATAATGATGCATGAAGAAAAGTAATCTAAAGCATTATAATGTTTGAAGAGGAGAAGGACAGAGAGAGACAGATTTTGAAGCAGAGAAAGTTTTAATTTACAATAATGTTCTTATGCCCATTACATGCTTCTCTCACTACACTCCCCTTCAAGTGGAGCATGATTTTTTTTTATCAATTACAATAACTTTATTAAGAAACAAAGCCATGAATGGAACAGGGAGAGGTAAACTCTCTTAGCTCTCCCATAAAGGTACAAGCAGACCAAAAAACAAGAAAATTAGCAATTACATTTGAGGCCAAAACATTGCATCCCTATTCACCCCTTGCTTTGCTAGCCCATCAGCTATGGAATTGGCACTTCTTTTGGCCCGAACCACTTTAACTTCAAAATCCTATGTTAACCACTTGAGCATTTTCCTTTCATTGCTGTAATTCAAGTGGAAGCAGGAACAATACATGCTCAACTTGCTGAGACTTTCAGTCGACAACTTCAATTTTACAATCCCCTTTGTCAGGAAGTCTGCTAATTGATAATTGGTGGTTACTACTGAAATATGTACTTCTAGTGATGCAGGGGCATTATCATCCTTTTATCTTGTGTTATGTTCACTCTTATAAAATGAGGAGTGGGTGCTACCACACCTTGCCTCTCATTCCTCTGGTTGTTTCTCTTCTATTCTTCTCTTTTCTTATGATTTCAAGGTTGTTATCATGGTATCAGAGCAGGAGATCAGATTGAATCACCTTCCTTGCTCTTTTTTCTTCCTTTTATCTCTTCTTTGTGGGACTGAAGAAAGAAGACTGATTTGGATTTCTTTTGGACTGATAGGAGGTAACTTGTTGTATAGGGGCATATTGTCATCCTTCGGATATATTAATACAAATTCCCTGATTTTTCAGATAAACAAAAGATGGTTTAAACAAAAACAGTTCAAAATACTAGACAATCATAGCAAACCAAGAATAGGAACTAAAAATGTCCAGAAGCAAATGGAAAAGATGCAAGATTGTCCAAAAAAAAAAACGGTAAAATAAGTAACAAAAACTAACCATATGCTGGGGGATTTGCAATTATGGCATCAGCTTTAAAAGGAATACTGGAATCAACATCGGGGTTTTTGCATGCATCAAGTAAGGAGAAAATGATTTCCTTTATTTGTCTCCGTTGAATAGGTATTTCTGAAGGTCCAGATGGTAAGAAGCCTTTATTCTTGACCATGTCTGCATGCACAAGCTAGTTGTTATAAAGTAAACAAGAAAATTCATGTTATGTGTTCTGGTAACTTATCTAACTAAAGCTCATCAAGAATATAACAGAGAATTCCAAGAAAACTGTCTTAATTTGCAGTATCAGTGATAGAAACCACATTGAGACTGATGTGCCATGCATGTTTTACACTGACATTAGGCACAAACAACATTAGCTTAGGATTTATTTTGATTAATATAGAATTTAGGTTTATTTGTAATTTTCTGTTTTTGGGGTTCCTTGCAATTTGCAACTGCTCAATTGTTGTCACAGTAGATGGTCAATGGACCTAGGTTGGAAGACACCACACTGAGTCCCCATATGAAACTCCTCATCCAGATGCCTTCTTTGGCTGCCTAAGCCGCCACATTCGGTTTCAGTGGTGAAGTCTACAATGTATTGCTACTCCCCCGCTCCTCCAACTGACTGCCCCACCACCCAACGTGAAGATATACTCTGAGTTGGATTTTCTGTTATCTGGACCTAACTGGAAATCTGAGTCAATGTATCCTGGAGGTATGAGATCATCTCCATGATAAACCAGCATATAATGTTTTATCCTCAAACACTTGAGAATATTCTCAACTCTAGTCCAATGCTCCTATCCTGGATCACTCTGGAATCTATTGACCTAGTGTTTTAAAAGTGCAAGGGCCATTTTGCACCCAAGGTGCAAGGCATGTGCCTTTTGGAAGCAAGGTGCAAAAATGCAAAACAAAAAGGCAAAAATTTTAAAAAATGCAAAATATTAAAAATATTAAACACAATATTAATTAAAAATATAAACCTAAATTTTAAAATAAATGTTTTTTAAAAAACCTATTATCTCAAATTAAAATACATAGACATAACATGTAAAACATATCTAAAATAAAACCAAGCATAACATATAAATCATATTCAAGCATGTAAACTCTTAGGCTCCGTTTGGTTTGTGGGATGGGGATGAGAAAAAGGGAATATTTCTCTCATTTGGTTTGAGGGAAATAGAGGGATGGGATGAGAAAGAGGTGGGATGAGAGATCCCAAAAACGTGGAATCGGGGTCACATCAAAACAGTGCGACCTCGGTGGAAAAACTGAGAAACCAGTGTTCATTGCCTTCCAGCGACGAAGACAAACGTCGACGAATAGCGATAACGACAAACAACAACGAACAGCGACACGAACAGTGCGACCCGATCTATTCTCCACTGTTTTCTTCATCAGATACTGGGAACCACTATTCGTTGCCTTCCTCGTTCGAACAGAGGAGGCGGTGGTGGCAAGAGAACCAGGCAGCGGGAAGAAACGACGAACCAAACAGTGGAGATCTGAAGAGGTAGCGGTGGCAAAAGAACCAAGTAGCAACGATTTGCTACCCTGCTACCAACGGAATAAGGAGTGTTCCGATCATTTACCGATGGAGACCACGCTAGAATATCCCTTGCCTTCATTGGTCTCTGATGGACTAGTCCCTGCGGATAGCAATGTTTCCATCAACTGGTCCTTCGACATGTTCCCAGTGGGATCCGAAGATAGTGTGTCGGATTCTAGAATTTTTTCTGGGTTTGACGATTATTTGGCCGACTATTTTCCCTCGTCACTGGATTCCTTGGATGAAGGAACGATGAACTAGGCAACGGTGATCTGAAGAGGCGGCGGCAGAGGAAGCGGCGGTGGCAAGAGAACCAGGCAGCGGCGGCGATCTGAAGAGGCGACTATTTTCCCTTTTCTCTCTTCTCCCTCACCTTCTTCTTCTTTTTGTTCATCCCGTCTTCCTCCCTCACCTTCTTCTTCCGGCGAAGAACCAGCTACTGACATGTTTTTCCTATTATTTTCCCATGTATAAAACCAAACACTGGAAAGTCCAATTTTTACACTTTCCCATCCCATCCCATCCCACCCAAATCTTCCCACAAACCAAACGGAGCCTTAATCTCTTCATTTTTTTTCTCAATTTCATTACTTCATATAGCTAATGTGATGTTAAACATTATGCATTCCTAATTCTATGAACCGCCTTTGTACTAAGCCCCTCAAGACAAACCCAAACAAGTCCATATCAAGGTCTTAAATTCTTAGTCCCTATAAAAAAAGGTTTTATAACTTTAAGTGCCTTTTAAAAATATCTTTTTATTAGGATGAATGAATTAGAAAAATTAAAAAATATAAGGTTTTCGGAAACTTGATTAAACATGGCCGAACTTGTTACAATTGCTGGCCGAAATTTAAAAAAAAAAAATCCAGCCCAACCTAATAACTGGTTTCTTAGTATTTTGAAATCTGAATTTCTGGGTCGATCTTGCACTAAACTAGACCATATTTAAAACCCAAATTTAAAACTGATCCTACCTGATACAGAGTCCATAGAACGCAACTCCCATTGATTCATGCCTAATATCAGACCCAAATCGGCCTCCAACTGAAAATGGCGCAGTTGTATGTGCAAAGCTGATTCAGCAACACCGTTTTAGCAAAACCGAACCCCAACTTGCTTGGATCGATGTAAGTATGTGAACCTGGTATCCTCTGATATTTTTCTTCAAAAACACAGCAAAGGGCTGATGAAAATCAGCCCCTACAACAACTGGTTCGAACAAGGGTTTTTTTGGATAAAAAGGGAGAAGAGAAAGAAGTAAGAGAGTGGAGAGAAAAGGATGGCTCACCCCCTCCCCCTTACCCCCTTATATATAGCACTCTTCTAATCCTATTAGGAGCTAATCCAAATTAAATTTGGATTAGGACTTAATCCATATTGAATAAGCACATTCTCTTCTTAAGAGAATGGACACTCCATACCCATATCCATACCAACAATCGATCCAGTAGAAATCATTGTTTGGAAATCTAGATGAATTCTTTGTGAAGAGAAAGAAGAAGAAGAGTTTCAACAATAGAGAAGAAAAGAGAAGAAAGAAAGAGTAGGATGTCAACCAGAATTGAATTAGTTTTGGCTGCCGACCCCTCATTATATTTCATACTTAACTTAAAAGAATAAGACATTACAAGAATGCCCTTAGTAGGGCAGCTACTAAAGTAGCTGAACAGTCATAACTTAAAAACATAAGCTAATGGGCCTAAAGCCCAACAACTTCCTAACTTAACAACTTAAAAATATAAGAGCTAAATAACTGGGCCCAATAACTAGAAATCGGCCCAACTCAACACTCCCCCTCAAGTTGGGAGTAAATGTGTCACATTCCCAATTTGCGTAGATCATGCTCCAGCTTGTTCCTTGCAACACCTTTTGTGATAACATCAGCAAACTGCAGATAAGAAGCAATGTATGGGAGACAAACTTCCCCAGAAGTCGCCCTTTCTCTGATGAAATGTCTGTCCACTTCAATGTGCTTTGTCCGGTCATGCTGAATTAGGTTATGGGCAATGTTGATTGCTGCCTGGTTATCACAGTACAGCATCATAGGTTCTTTTAAATGTACACCAATCTCTCCTAATAGGGAACGGATCCAGAGAAGTTTTGAAACTCCATGTGCCATGGCCCTGTATTYAGCTWCAGCACTTGATCTTGCCACCATTGTTTGTTTCTTACTCTTCCACGAGACAAGGTTACCCCCAACAAGGGTGCATACTCCTGAAGTAGATCTCCAATCATCAAGGCATCCTGCCCAATCTGCATCTACATAAGCCTCTAGTTTCAACTATCCATGATCAGCAAACAATATGCCTCTGCCCGGGTGTCCCTTCAGATAAGCAAGAATCCTGTCAATAGCCTCCCAATGTTGGACTCGTGGAGCATGCATATATTGACTTGCCACACTGCATAGGAAATGTCTAGTCTTGTCATACACAAGTATAGCAGTCGCCCCACAAGTCTTTGATATCTCCCAATGTCCTTTACTGGCTCACCTTCTGATGCATTACTGTGATTTTGATCAATAGGAATACTGATTGCCTTTGTTCCAAGCTTCCCTGTTTCTTGTAGAAGATCCAAGACATACTTCCTCTGAGAGATAAAAAATTCCATGTTTTGATCTTGTAATTTCAATGCCTAAGAAATATCTGAGTTCTCCAAGATCCTTAATTTCAAATTCTCTATGTAGATTCTTCTTCAGACAATCAATCTCACTTAGGTCATTCCCTGTGACAACAATATCATCCACATAAACAATTAGACTGACACCAAGGATCCCCTTCGCTTGACAAACAAGGTATGGTCAGATTGAGTCTGAGTGTAGCCAAAAGCAACCAAGGCTTTCCTGAACCTGTCAAGCCATGCTTTGGGAGACAGCTTTAAGCCATAAAGTGACTTCTTAAGTCTGCATACCTTTCCCTTTTCAGCATCACTGTAGAAACCAACAGAAAGATCCATATACACTTCTTCTTGCAAATCTCCATTTAGGAAAGCATTCTTCATATCAAGTTGAAACAGGGGCCAAGAGTATGTCGCAACAAGAGAAAGAAGTTGATGAGAGATTTCTTATGGGAGCCGGGACAAGAAAAAAAGGATCACTTAGTTAATTGGGAAATTGTGTGCAGAAGTAAAGAAGAGGGGGGTTTG